CTCCTACCCCAGGTTAGCAGCTTCTCTCCAAAGCCCTCCAGATTCATGTAACTGGGCTCAGCTATAAAAAACAATGAGCCTTTTTTTACTTGAGTCTTTGATAAGTTTACTTAGAATGACTCTCCACAAATGCTAAAGAAACACTTAATCTTTTGAATAATTTCCTTTTTTATGTTAATATGGACTAGGGTTATTCTACTGGAATGGCTCCTATATTGAATTGATTACTACATTTTTGTTCAAGTGGTGAGCAGATATGTTGAAATAAACATCAGTAGCAACTTCTTGTTCATTGGATACCTTCTGGGGCATAGTTTGTATCTTCTGGTGCATGCAGTTCTACCATTGAGACTTCACTTTATTGAGGCGCAGGGAAGGGGGGCAGGTTCAGATTCCTTTTTCTGAGCATGATTCTCATAATTAGCCATAGAATCTTTGATGTGTCAAAATGTTTTCTAAAAACATTATAGAAATTTTCTTCAAATCTAATGACCTTAGATTAAAATGGATTTTTTTATGCACTATATAAATAGTAAAGACATCTAAGTTCTAAATTTTGAGATACCAGGTCAGAAATAGATACTGTGGGAAATTCAGGAAATCTTGACCGAGAAATAACATTGTCAGTTTGCCATGAATTTTTTTCATTTGCACAATTCGAGTCTCTAGGGGTCAATTAGAATTTTTGAATTCTCTGATTTACCACAGAAAATGCTCCTTGCTACCATTAGCTGTCAATAACATTTCTGTTTAAAATGCTTTCCTTTATTTTTAAATTATTCCAAAGCTACATGAACATGGATAAAAATTAGAAAATAAGCAAAACTAGAATTCTTCCAAATTCTGTCAAATATGAATACTTATTTTAAAATATATTCTTCCATGTATTGTCCCATGCACAAAAATTTATATATACGGTTGATCCTTGAACAATGTGGGGGTTAGAGGCGCCAACCCTGTGCAGTTGAAAATCAATGTGTTAATGGAAAAACCAAACTCTGCAAAATATTTTAAAGAGGTTTATTTTGAGCCAAATATGAATGACCATAGCCTGGGGAAAACACAAATCCAAGAAACCTTGAGTAAATGGTCCTGAGGCAGTCAAATTACAGTTTGGGTTTATACATTTCAGGGAGGCAGGAATTAAAGGCAAAGACATAGATCAGTACATGGAAGGTATCCATTGGTTTGGCCTGAAAAGGTGGGATGGATATCTTGAAGCAGAGGTTTTCAGTTCACAGGTAGATTTAGAGATGTTTAACTTGGAGTCAGTAGAAAGGAATGCTTAAGTTAAGATGTGGGAGTCTTTCACCTGTCACATGATACCATGCCAGCAAAAAAACAACCAAACAAAAACAACCTATTGAACTAAATTTTATGGATTGTAAGGCATTACTTAACCCTTGCCTTGCATGGCCTTAGGTCTTGCTTATAATTTAGTATCTTTTTGCCACAAAGAGTGTGTTTTATCAATCTTATTTTACCATTAATGCTGGTCAGTTTTTGTGACTAAACTCCAAAAGAGAAGAAGTATAATGAGGCATGTCCAGCCTCCCTTCCCATCATGGCCAAGAATTCAGTTTTTAGGTTTCTCTGGGGTCTCCTTGGCCAAGAGTAGGTCCATTCATTCGTTTGGGAGGCTTAGGATTTTATTTTTAGTTTACACATGTATTACTTTTGACTTCCCAAAACTTAACTACTAATAGCCTCCTGTTGACCAGAAGCCTTACCAATAATAGTCAGTTAACACATTTTATATATTACATGTATTATATACATACTCTTACATTAAAGTAAGGGAAAAGAAAATGTTAAGAGAATTATAAGGAAGAGAAAATATATTTACTCTTCATTAAGTGGAAGTGGTTCATTATAAGGGTCTTCATCTTCATCATCTTCTCATTGAGTAGGTGGAGGAAGAGGAGGAGTTAGGCAGAGGCAGAAGAAAACCTGTGTATAAGTGGACACATGCAGTTCAGACCCATATTGTTCAAGAGTCAACTGT